CATCAATGCCGCCTCTCGTCAATATTTCATAATTCGCAGCAGCACATTTATTGACTTGCTTGCGCATTTTGGAGGTTGTTGCACACACACACACACGCACACGCACACGCACGCACCCACACGCCTTCAATGGAGGTACACAAAACTTGCCACTGACCCAGTCAACAGGCGCAGCAACAGCAACAACAACAGCAACAAATTGCGACAACTGCTGAGACTGCGACCAAGACTGAGGCAATGCCAACGGCAACGGTAATAATCAAAAAGACAAAAAAACACAACCCACAGACTAGCGGCACATTTTTGTCAACGATTGAGGCGATTGAGCAAGCGGCGCTTACGTCGCTGCCGGCTGCACCTCCGCCCCCCTAATAGCCCCACCGCCATCTCCAGCGGCAGCAACACATTGCCCCATTGCCAGTCATTGTTCATGACATTCAAAACAAACTTCAAGTGGCCACAGCCACCGCGCACGAGTACATTGCCTTTGAATTGGCATTAGGCGACGACGACGACGACGGCGACGGCGACGACAGCGGCGATCACGGTCAGGGGACTCTGTGGCAGCCGCTGTGGAAGGCCGTTGAAACATGTGCGAAATGTTGTCCGGTTTAGAAGTCAATGAATTCTTATAAATTTAAGCCAATTGTTCAGTGAATATGTTTCTATAATAACAAACGGGAAAGAAGGCACGCCGAAGATGTAATACCCTTGCAGACATTTCCCTTTGGCAGACATGTGAGAATAGTGCAGCTCGAAAATGTTAAGTTCGTTGAAATATCTTTGAAAACAGAATATTTTGCCTTAGAGGATCCTACTAACCCACCGATCTTTCCTATAGCAGCTACATTATAAAGTGGTCCGGTGTTGATAGAATTTTTCATGCATAGTAAAACTTATAAATGCCAAGTTATCGTAATATATATTGATAAACAAAAAAGTTTTTCCATACAAGTACTTAAATTTCGACCGATCGTTCCTATGGCAGCTATATGATATAGTAGTCCGATCCAGCAGGCTCAGACATATCGACATACTGCGTGCAACAGAAAGACGGACGAGGAAAGTTACCTAAAGTTTTCATTTGGATACTTTTAAAAACTGCTGCTTTTATCGATAAGTTATCGAAGATTGCAGCTAAACTTAAACAGCGACTACTTCTGATAGACGAAAACAGCGTTTAATGTTTCAAAATCGTGCTCTTCAGCTTTTATAGTCCCAAATAGATCAACATATTGACTATGCTGTTTTTGCTGATGCGGAATACTTTAACTTTATGGCAATTGCCTTTTTTCATACATATGCACAACGAAATTATATATTATTGTTTTTACCAATTTCCAATGACCTTAAAATGATTTTTATGTCGAGCTCGACGCAGCTCCAATAAATGCGAATAAATGCGAATAAAGCCAAAACATTTACTGCCCGGTTCGCATCCACGTTTGCCATAATCATTAGCGCAGTCGACTGTGAATCGAATTGGCATATTGATAGAGGGATAAACAGTTGGGTATGACTAGTATTTGGTATTGTAATCAAAGGTGGCAAATTCTAATCAGATATTAATAATAAAAATATGCTGTTCATTATATACGATATATTTAATATTAACAGATATTTATAGATTTATTATCCAAAAGTGTTTAGAAAGAAGAACCTATCCGTTTATACTTAAGGATAATTCTTTAAAAGTGTACATATTAGTTTTCATCTCATAATAAAAAATAAGAGTGATCTAGTCAGGAGTGCCCGACTAAGTGATACCCTAAACCTTTTTATACGAACACCAATGGCAGCTCGCTCTACGCGCTCCTTTGCCTTAGCATTTGCCTTATACATTTAAAAACAAAAAACAATAAGTTACCCATCCTCTCGATATCTTAAAAATGAAAGAAAAATGAAATGAAAGATCTGAATATTCTCTTCTAGAAGCTACAAGTAAAATTTGGTGACTCTATCCATTAAAACCTAAGAAATTTTCTCAAAAATAGAATTTCGAAATCGATGTTTATTGATTGCTTATAAACGGGCCAAGTTATCGATTATCGAAAACAAACTGGTACTGCGCTACGTTTTTTGCTCTAAATAATTGTTAATAATATTTTGACCAAATACAATTTGAAAATGAATGAGTACTACGTTCAAAATTTCAAGCCTCTAGCTCGTATAGCTTCTGAGATCGACCCGTTCATACATATGGACAGACGAACGGACAAATGGACAGACGGATAATCGGACAGACAGACGGACTTGGGTAGATCGACCCTGTTACATACATATGCACAAAACCATTATACCCTTTTTATATACCCATTGAATGGGTTCAGGGTATAACAAAATTAAAAAATAATACAAATCTGGAAAGTTTTTAAAAAAACGAAAGTACTGTAAAAGTATGTACATATATTCCAGCTGTCAGCTCAGAATTAATTTATATATATATTTATTTATTTAAATTTAAATTTTTTTAAATATATTAAAGAGCAGCTGTGTGATATGATTATTATAAATGCTAAACAATGTATTTCAAACAATTAAATAGGCATTCTTTCAGCAATAAAATATAGCTTAAATCATTTATGTAATTATCGATTTAGATGATTCTCACCAAGTTTTCGCTCAAGCTCAAGTGTAGTCTCACAGCATTGCATTTCTTTGTTGTCCAAAGACCTCTAAATTGAACCATCTTTGAACTATCTAGATTATACTACGTCACAGATGTGGCCGCAAAGTCGCTCGCTTTGAGCTCAGACAAGGGCGATTAATGACCGCACGGCTTTGCTTTGGAAATGACATTCGAAATGCCACCCACAACTTAAATTGGCTGAGGTCACAGCTTCCGCTGGCGGGGCACAACGTGCAGTCTTTGTCTATTCATTGGCATTTTAATGAGCGGCCGGCCACTAAGTAAAAAACAAAACGTACAAATAATTATATGAAATGCTCACATTATGCAATTTCTTCAAGTGAATTCCGCATCGATACTTGTACCTTGGGCACAGACTAAATGCAACAACAGCAACAACTGCAACAACAACAACAAAGTACTCATTTACCTTTCACACCCATTAATATTCTTTTATTTGAATTAAGTGGTTGATTGCTCAATTGCATAAATTACGTGTGTTTGTGTAATTTTTTTTGTTTTATAATCTTTATTCTCTATTGCAATTAACTTGTCGCGGTGGCGAATTACTTAGGCTCTTTACAACATATTGACTTGTCATTGCAATTTTGCTTCCTTTAAAATGTCATGCCATTCATTAATTGCCTTAGTTTTATTTTTCAACTTAATTGTTTTTTTATGGCACGTTGTCAATTTTCCGGTATCGGTAGCGACGTGCATAGCTACAGAATTGGCGAACTCTGAATCTACAAAAAATATTCTCATCGATCTAAAAAAAAAAAAAAAAATATGTTTTCTTTTAAGTACCAAAAAGTATGCTTAAATAATTTCTATGTTTTTTTAAAATATATTTCAAGTCAAATTGTAAATAATTTTTGATTAATATTTTAGCCAATTGTGATGTGAAATTCAAGAAAGTGCCTACAAAAAGGCTTAAGATAATAAATATAAAAAGAAAATCAACCAAGTCTTGATCAACTTTAATTCGAGCTGTAGAACTTGCTTTTAAAAAATTCTGTAAACGCTTACAGCGCAATAAATTACTAATATAGCATAGCATTATTCCAGATTGAAATAAAAAACGAGAAAGTTAGGAGAAAGTTATCTTCGAAACGCCGAAGAGTTAATACCCTAGTAGAAGATTTGTACGAATACTAAAGCTCGCAAATGCTGAGTTTGATGAAAACATATTGGAAAAGAGAATATAATGCCATACAAGAACTCACTTTTCGTTCGATCTTTCTTATGGCAGCTATATGATGAGCTATATGATGTTGATACGATTTTGCAGATATATGAAACATAGTGAAACTAATTAATGCCAAGCTCAAGATAGATTTGAAACTGAGACTAGTTCGTATAGAATTAGACGGACAGATAGACGGACTATCAACTCGTCTGTTGATGCTGATCTAGAATATATTTTCTTTATGGATTCGGATATGTTTGCTTCTATGCATGTTACACAATGCTTGACTAAATTGTAATACCCTCTACTAGGGTATACTAATGCAAAATGTTCTAGATTTGTTTTAATAGATGTTTAAAATAGACGTTGCTTTATGGTCTACTAAAGTCCCTTTCACTTTTGTAGGCAATGCATGAACATTATTATATTATTATATTACATTATTACTATTGTTGTTCTTAATATAGTAATCTGAAAAAAATACAGAATTACGGACTTAAATTGTTGTCTAGCGTTGTCGGAATTTGCCTAAGGTCGGCTTTACTGAAGCTAAGCTTAAAATGATAAAAACAAGTATGTTCTCTTTTATCCCGGAATTCTTAATTTAAGCCTATTTTGAGCGTAATTAGCTTGATCTGAGCAAAATATGGCTTAGCCTTGAGTCAAAAATGGTATTGATTCAAGACAGGATGGTATTGATTTAAGTGCAAAACAAGTTTGTCTTTAAGCCCAAAACAAACTGCGACTATCTGAATTACAGTTCGTTTTGTAAACTTGATTTAATCCCAATTTAAAAAGTGGGGGATTGCTGAACGCTCAGCATGAGCTTGCTTCAAGTAAACTCCTGATTAAATTATTGCCATGCATATAAACTAAAGCTTTAGCTTTCGACATATACACCTGCCTGGGATTCACCTGCACAAACGACTGGCTTGCTTAGGTACATTGACCGGGAGATGTTCTTAAACTGAATCTAAATTCAAAATCAATTTGCGTGCGTTCAAACAATTTGTGCATTTAGCACTTGAAGTTGCGGTTGTATCTTTTGAATTGATTTGACAGATACAAAAACAGCAGTAAATGTCATAAATTTCGAAATGGGATTCCATTTTTTCCGTTAACACAATAGAAATTAAATGTTTTAAGTCCACAAATTTAACAATGTATTAAACTAAATTGCAGTTTTTAACTTTGGAGGCTAAACGGCAACTGAAATAACAAACAATCGACAATAGGAATTTCTGCAACACCAGCAACAACAGCAACAACAGCAACAGCATCAGCAACATCAGCAACAGCATCAGCAACATCAGCAACAGCAACACCTGCAACAACAGCAACACCTGCAACAACAGCAACAACATGGATGTACTCATGCATGATGCGTTACATTGGTACAGAGACCTAATGGACAATAAAAGTGGTCAGTATTGACAATGTATTTAAGAGTTCCAAATTGACTTACCTGAGTTTATATTTGATTGATTTTTGTAACAGATCCGCGCGTGAACAACTTCTTTCTGCTCTCCTCGCCGCTGCCCACACTTGGCTTGTGCATATTTTATGCATACTTCAGCAAATCGCTGGGCCCCCGGCTGATGGCTAACCGCAAGCCCATGGATCTCCGCAAGGTGCTAGTGTACTACAATGCAATACAGACCATATTCAGCGCGTGGATTTTTTATGAGGTATATTATAAGGTATATTATGAGGTAAATGAATGCATTTAAAAACGGCCTATCTTTTATTCATTAGTACTTAATGAGCGGCTGGTGGGGTCATTATAGCTTCAAGTGTCAGCCCGTCGACTACAGCAACAGTCCCATGGCCATGCGGGTAGGTTTCTGGCGCAGTTCCATAAATTCAATTGATGAATAACTCTTGCTCTGTAGATGGTCAATATCTGCTGGTGGTACTACATATCAAAGTTTACAGAATTCTTTGACACGCTCTTCTTCATATTGCGCAAGAAGAACGAGCACGTTTCAACGCTGCATGTCATACACCACGGCTGCATGCCGTTCTCGGTGTGGATGGGCCTTAAATTTGCACCGGGTACGTGCCCTTCGCCTTACATCAACTGTCACATAATTGTATAATAATAAATATTCATTACGTTATTTATCGCAGGTGGCCACAGCACTTTCTTTGCCCTGCTAAACTCGTTTGTACACATTGTGATGTATTTCTATTATATGATTGCTGCCATGGGTCCAAAGTATCAGAAGTTTATCTGGTGGAAGAAATACCTAACCACCTTTCAAATGGTATACTCCCACAATTTACACAGCCAGGCATCCTGACTAACCACTTTGTTATTACCAGGTACAATTTGTGGCCATATTTACGCATCAGTTCCAGCTGCTGTTCCGGGACTGCGATTACCCCAAGGGCTTCATGGTCTGGATTGGCCTGCATGGCGTGATGTTCCTATTTCTGTTCTCCGATTTCTACAAAGCCAAATACCTAAATGCGCAGCGTCGTCGCCGCGAGGCCATCAAGGCCAATGGCCACTCCAACGGCGTTCACACGAACGGCAAAGTCAAGCATTTGGGCAGTGGCGATCCCCAGCTAACCAATGGCGGCCACAAGGGTGCCTGTATGGTAAGTTTCAACTGATATCAATTTGCAGGCGCAAGAAAAACCAAAAAAATAGAAACAAAAACAACAACAAGAAACATAAATAAACGCATGGCGTAGGTAAGCAACATTAAATCAAGTAGCCCTTGAAAGTTATTAGCCGTGGCTAAGCACACAAATCGACGACGCCCGTTCCAAGTGCAGGTCCCCAGTGGAGGCAGGTGAGAGGAGTGCCAGTCTATGCAAACTAGAGTTGGAAGCGTGTCGTGTTTTTTTTTCTGCTTGTGTGACATGATCACGCACGACGTGTTCGTATACAATTATCAACACTCGTGCGTGGTTGTGCTCTGAGAAATGTGGAAGACAAAACAATTTCTAAACATTCCAAATTTGTATAGCACATATGCAACTTGTGTACTTGACCGTGCCTATTGGATCGCATCTAAATTAATTTTAAGCTCAATTTATTAGAATACTTTTGTTTTTCCTTTCAATAAAAAAAGGCTAATAAAAGTTGCTTTTATTGCGTATTCAATTTATTATATTAGAATTGTCAAACGATTCCGACCAAGGTTCCACGTCCTTCCGTTTGATAAGATAATTAGTCATTATAAAAATGTTTGAAAATTAAAAAGTTCTTGTGCACATGATTTTTTAACTTGCGTGTTTCTTAATTGCAACTCGCGTTGTACGAATCCGATCTATTCCATCTCTAATGCTTAAATACACGTACATATGCGTAGTTGTTGTTGTTTTTTGATCAACTTAAAAATTCTAACTAGCTTAGTTAAACAAACAACGCACACACACACACACACACACACACACACACGCACACACACACGCGCGCACAGCACTCGCAAACTCTCAACACTGCGCGGGGGACATTTCAATTAGCGTAAACATGCGAAGCCGGATGCGAAGGCCCAATCATATTGGCTGCTGGCCATTAGGAAGGCTGTGTGCCTTGCTTTGAACTTTAGCTGGGGTCTAGTACGAGGGGTGTTGAGGCAGGAGAGAGCTGCAGACACGTGCTCGTCAAAAACGAATCATACAGAATATTAATCGCATCTTTATTTTCCGTTCTCTACACTTGCAGCCCGTTTTGGAGGATGAATATGTGAATAGCAATGGGCATGTGAATGCCTATCAGGATGGTTACTTCAAGGAGGGCGTACTATCTACCAACGATGCCATCCTGAATCCGGACAGCAGTAGCTCTAGTCTTCATCAGCGCAAAGTCAAATAACTACTACTAAGACGTACTACGATGATATTCATTATGTTTACTTTAAGTGTTTAGCAAGTAACTAAATTGATAGAGCAGATCGAAACAGGCTGACGGCAGAATAATAATGCGTCCATGCAATTATGACCATTGGCAACAAAAAGCAACAAAAATCAGAAAAAATCAGCAAAATCTAAAAAAACAAAAGAAAAGTAATAAACCATTATTTGATTTTAGTAATTTATGATAAATATGATTGTAAAAGCAAGCCAGATATTAGTGTATAATGTGAAGCCACATGGCTCACATATATATATATATATGTATTTATATATATATATATATATGGGCAGACCAAAAACCAGAACCAGGGAACCTAATTTCCCTCCACCAACAAGACCATCAGCACCACTGTAGCCGAAGCCGTCAGATAGATTAGGAGGAGGATAACAGAATAGAACTGCTTTAAGAAAGAAATGTTTATATATATCTATATATATATATATTGTCGATTGTATTATTCCCCCAAATAATATTCTTACGCCCACATAAATGAACATATTTTTTGTAAAAATATTTGTAGGCTAAATTTGTAATTCTCAATTTGAGGCGTATTCTAAACTGGGCAACAGATATCACATTTATACGATAGGGCAAATTGACAAATCCCCACTTAATACAACAACAATAATAAATATATATATATAAATATATTTACTTATGTAACGATACACTCACACACACACACACACACACAAATATAACTAGGCATTATCATTAATATGAGAAATTTGGATAACAAACTGAGACGTCAACCTAACGATAAAAGATAACAAAACATGCTCTTAAGCCTGCTTTAAACTTAAACGTTAAACTAATTGTAGCTTGTTTTTGTATATTGAAAGATAGAGAGAGAGAGAGAGAGAGAGAGAGAGGGAGAGAGAGAGAACATGTTTGTTGCAATATTTTGTAAATGGTCTAATAGTTAAAACTTATATATAGTGCGACGTTGTAGTTAGCTAGCCAATTGCAAACTAAAACAAAAACTAAACAAATTTAGCACAAAATGCTAATGCTGCGAAAACAACAACAAAACATTATGGAGGAATAGCTTTAGACTTTAAGTGTAAAACAGCTGAAGGAGCAGACAATCGGTTCGGCGTTGAGCCCCCAACCCCATTTGAAAACTAGAAGCAAACGAAATTTAAACAAACTCCCAATACCTTAAACATTTATATGTATAACCATTTTGTTTCACATTTCATTTTTAAATATTTCAATTCTCGGTGTGGCTTTTGTGCGTAGGTTTTTTTTTATATTTGTTACCCTCTATATTTGGTTTGTAAATGTTAAAATAGTTTTTTATTTGGCGCTTAGCGAAATGAAAAAAAAAAAGAGTTAAGAGTTATTTGTACTACAGTCTGTTAAACTGTGCATTGGTTTCTTTGTTAAGTTGTGGTTTAAGCTGACAAGTTCAAAAACTATGGAAAACATGAGAAAAAAGCTTATTAATTTATATTAAAGAAATATGAAAGCAAACATGTGTTTTTTATTAATTGTTATGCATCAAACTGTTCATTCATCAGCTCGTCTAAACTTTTGGCTTGATGCGAAAAAGGTTACTAACTTCCGGTTAAATGTGCCTTGCAGACTTAAAGCTCGTATCTTGGCTAAAACCTTGACAATTTTGTCATTGTGGTTTGGTCGTCTAGATTATGTAAATCTTGACATGAAAAGTTCTCCTACTTCGTAGCAAATGGTTTCTTAAATTATCCGGGATAACAAAAACCTCCTTACCAAAAACCCTTACCCTTACCAAAACGACATAACTCGTTTGAAAGCGATACAACTCCGCCGATCTAAAAACAAAATATCCCCGCGCGGAGATATGACGTTTGGGAACTTCATAACTCCGCACGGAGATATGTCGTTTGTAGACCGGCGCAGATATGTCGTGCAAAATTTAGTCGTCAGCCTCGAAAATAGTCTTAAGGATGCCCACAATTCCTCTTATCAATTCTAATCCAATTGGGTTTATACCGGATCTTCAGTAAAATATTTGTACAGCGCGGGAAAATAATTGTTTAATGCTTGTTTTCCAGTGCATAATTTTAGGCACTCTTATTAATTAGTTAAAAATAAAATATTGATTGATCAATCATTTAAGGTCTATTACAGAAGCAAGCAACAAAATTGTATTTCATACAAAAAAGATAACACGTAATTGAAAAAGATTTCTTAGTTTACAGCCTCTTAAAATGCATATAAATTCTAAGCAGAAATCGTTTCAGCGAAAATAATAGTTGGGCCCAAATGTCAAGTTCTCAAAGTCCCAAGTCTTAAGGGCTATTGCACAATTCTGAATATGGTTTTTCCCTCCATCTACTTAGTGGGGGTATCAAGTGCACTTTGGGTTAACCTGCGGGGGCAGCTGTCTATAAAGTTGACTTGCAGTCAATAGACAAAAACAAACAAATCGTTTAACACGCCAATATCGAGTCAATAAAAATCCGAAATGGGCTGACGTTTTCACAGCTCTTGTCCCTACCGGTGGCTGCATGGGGATTCCCTTACCCCCCCCCCCCCTTCCTCCCTATCCACCCCCTCCCACACACACTGACCTAATGGCAAATACAAAAACAACGTTGTACATTGCACCAAAGTGCAGTCGGGACTGAAAGCCAACTAATGAACAACGAAGGTTGTTTGCCGCGCTTGGCTGGCCAAAAGTAAAGGAGTTGCAATTAAGTAAAAGTTAATAACAATAATTTGTTGGCTTAACATAAAAATTAGCGATTACTTCATAAACTAATTATTGGCAAACATAAGTGCAATTTATGTTCGCAGCTGGCCGCGTGCCTGGCAAATATTTGTCACCCACTTGACCTTGACGAAGTGCAAGCGCAAACTATCGCCCGTCGGTCGTCGGCCACTGTGTTTGCCCAGTTAACACTCAGTCAATTCAGTTGTGGGGGAGCGTGCGGGTGGGTGGATAGTTGTTATTAATGCTGGCAGCATTGTGCATTCCCTGAGTGTCACTCGAAGTCAATTAGATAATAACTGGCTGACCTGATGGTCAACTTCGTTGCAAGTTCGTTGGACTGTTCAAACAGTTGGCAAATGTTACGTCGTGCGCCACCTGTTGCTGTTTACTTGAACTTCAATCTGTTCGAGAACAGGAGCGCGCTCTAGGGCCAAAGCAATTAGTGTATTTGCTTTGTGCATGCATTAAGGGGGGCTTGGCATGTTGCGGGGGTTAACTAGTAGCTGCTTCACGGAAAGTTTTTTGCGTTGCACTGTGCACTTTGTTGTTGTATCGTAAGTTTCCACTGTCAGAAGCTTTTTAAAGTTTTGCGGCCTAAGTTCTGCGCCTGCTCGCCAGTTATGCAGCTTTGGCAGCGCTGCTAGCGCCAGCGTCGCGCAGCGGCGTCGCCGCCACCGTTGCTGCGCAGTTGCGTCGTCGCATTGCGCGTTTAACAGCCGCACCGCTCAATTTTAGCTCAGTTTCATTCAGAAGTTAAGCTTAAGCGTGTCTCGGCCGCTCGGTCAATAGACTCGCTCTGCTCATTAGCCAATTGCGAAAGAATTTGGATTTTTACAAAGTTCTTGTGAAATATTTACGTATGTTTGCACATTCGGCCATATATATGAGCATATACATAGTTATTTCTGTCTTGTCCGTGCGTTATTTGTGTTGTGGTTTTTGCGGTTTTTCAGTTCCAGTTTCAATAGATTGCAAGCAGGAGCAGCGCCCCCAGCACCAGCACTAGCAGCGGCAGCGTCAGCAGCAGAAACAGCAACAGCAACAAACGCCAGTAGCGGCAATAGCCAACACAAATTGTTGGTAAGTTTCTTCACATACGTTTTGTGCTATTACTTCTTTTGCAACTGTTATTGTTGATTTGTTGAACAGGCTGGCAACACTGTGCCGAATAACGCATTGCCCAATATAATAAAGCAATCACATACATACTTCTACGAGAAAAAATATTAAAAATAATCAAAATGCGGTTTGAATGATTTCACACTTTTGGGCCAGCACATAATAATTAATTACATTAGATTCAGGTTTTTAGTTGTATGCAAATTCTTATTTTTTATCACCTGTTTTTGCCAGCAACATGCTACCAAGTGCTTTAACCCACAACTGTTAACTCAAGCGTATGTGAATAATGTTAAAAGAATGCAATATTCAGCATATTTTCTGTCAAATTTAGCATAGATGGCATTTTTGGGGTTTCTTTTAAACTGAATATACATTATTGCACTTCTCTTATGTCCCGCTGTCAGCTGGTTTCTGTTTACATTTACCAACTGACCAGGGCTGCAATTTGGTTGATTAACTCAAGGTTTTTGTTTGCATACTTATTGTTCTTTATCTTTCCTTTCTTTTTTTCCTCTTTAAAGAGATCATTATATTACTTAATGGAAAGAGTGCAAGAAAGCAGACTCTATGCTGCTCTTAGTTTTTGCTTGCTTTGTGAAGTCTGTGAAGGTTTCCAACTCCCAACTTAAATTGTGTTAACCCTCATAAGCACACATTTTTATTCTCTTGTGATTTCAATTTTTTTTAGTATAGAAAATATTCCCAATACTCTGCATTTTGATCATTGCAAGTTATGTTTTATTTTTGATGCCAATTCAATAACGTTTCCGAACCAATTTATATGAATTCTTAATAGGTTTAACTGAATTTATTGTGAACGTAATTAAAAACAGGGACATAACAATACATCACAATTTGTATTTTCGCCGAAGAATGCTATAAAGCAATAACAACATTAAAATTTACAACTTTCAGCAAAAAATATATTAAGCGGAAGGCATTTAAGGGTTAAGCGATATTAAGAGCTCTTGTAATTATTAACAGAGTCGCGATAACAGATTGCTTACATTGTGGCAACGAGCTGCAACAAGCAAAGCAAAACAGTTTTTGCAAATTGCAGAAGAGACAACCGCGGCAACAAACTAACCTGGGCTCCATGTGCAACCTTGGACTTGACTCTTGCCACTGATGGGCAACTGATTACCTGGTCGGTTTACCTGCCTGCGCCTGCCAGCGCGATGTCACATTATGTCTTTTGTTGTTGAGCGGCCTGTGGCCCTGCTTTTGTTACTGTTGTCGTTGCGTTGTTATTGCCAAGTTTTAAACAACTCTTGGAACAACTTTCAAGCTTTTATGATGATGGAACTGGGAGCTGGGAACATGGCGGAACATTTTATGGCTGGAACAGCCCTTTTTGCTATATCGATCTGATATATTTTTAGTTTGATGTTCACTTCCGCATTGCTAATTTAAGCACAGAATTGATTAAACTCCTTAATGGCTAGTTAAGGAATGCACTGCATGCCGACACGACTGGTTCCTGGTTTGGTTTTTCCCCCTCAGATAGTTCACATAAAACATTTCTGCGGCCTTTGTCTGGGGACTCGGACTCGTACTCGTACTCGGACGTGTATTGCGCAGATTTCTTCTGGCTATAATTGCAAATTACAAATTATTGACTGTTAATGGCAATTGAATCACGCCGGTTTTCGCTTTCAAACGGTTACAAATGCAAACATTTACGCTATTCCGCGTGCTTTGCCCTTCTCGGAATGCCACGCACGTAGACCACATTTCATGCGAATTTACAGGCTTACCCTCTTCCAGCCTACGCTGCCTGCTGCCTGCTGACAGCAGATCGTCACTGGAAGATCTGAAGTTTGCGCGATCGCCGATCAGAAGAAAATCGCGCACGAATAAGTATAATCGAGGTGCCGAATATTAAATACCCTCACAAACATAGAGTAAGCAGAAATAGAAAGAAACATAGTGCATCATCTGCATATATTGATTGAGAAGAAATATCCCTTATGCGATCGAAGATACACCCTCTTGGGTGTTTCGTATTTCTAGGGTATAAGAAGAACAGTCAGCGGTCAATGCGCTGGAGGTCTCCATCCCAACGAAAATTCCCCAAACATTAAAATGTTTAGCACTCGGCGTCGAGGGCTTCACCTGCACATGGTTACACTCACTCTCTATAAATAATTCAAACGCACGTTTGTCTAGAACAGGATCCGCTCGGCCAGCGCCCGTTGATCAGAGGGGCGGGGGGTGCCCTGGTGCCTGGCATGCTAATTTATAAACATAACAACGAACCGACATTGACAGCCAACTGTGATTTTGGGCATTCATAAGTGATCAAAAAAGATACTGCAGAGACAGAGCATGCCAAAGAGAATGGTTGGGCTAATGTGCCAAAATATATGTACTCAGAGAATGGCATTGGCAAGCCGATCAAACTAGTTGATCTTACACTAAGAGACACACAAATCCATTAAATCGTGTTTATAACGTGCCCCAACTGTCTCAGTATTGATGTGAATTCGAAAACAGCTCGAAATCATAAAAAAGAGTTCAGCAATGTTAAATCTAACAGCTACACTAAGAGAAACATATCCATTTAATCGTGTTTATAACGTGCTCCAACTGTCTCAGTATTGATGTGAATTCGAATTTTCTAAGTAATACGAATTCCTCAAATTAAGCAGAC